ATCTATTCTGTTCTTTATGTCTCTTGACTGGCACAATTAATCCATTTACATTCAGTGTCATTATCAATAGGTATGAATTGATGGTTGTCATTTTTCTTTTGTTTTTTTAAAATGTTTTTATTGTGAATTAAGTGATGGCTTACATGAAAGAACATCAGTTTTGCACTCAACCAATTGTATTTTGTTTCAATGCAATGATTACAATCCCCTCCATGCACCATCAGTAAACAGTTGTTGTTGTTTTTGTGTGCCGTTGAGTCAGTTCCAACCCATAGGGACACTGTATAGTGTTTCCAAGGAGCAGGTGGTACACTTGAACTGCCGGCCTTGTAATCCAGCACATTAACCCACAGCACCATACCAGGGCTCCTTGGGTAACAGACTTGCCTCTAGTCCTCTTTTTTTAAATGTACACAAAAGCACACAGGGATGTATAAAGGTTTAAACAACCAAAGGGCACATTTTGCCTCCTGCCCACAGGAACACAGCCTTTCTCTTTCTATGAGTCTAGAGTCCTCAGCTGCTCCCTATCTCCATGCCCTCACCTCTGCCTCCATCTGCTTGGTCTGTATTTCTGCGGGGCTGCTGGAGGCGTTGTTCCCCATCTGTGTTGAGTTCATTGTGTTTGTGGGTTTTCTTTTCATTTTCATTTCTGTTGTGTTGTTGTTGTTGCTGTTAAGTGCCATGGAGTTGGTTCCGACTCATAGCGACCCTGTACAGAGTTTCCGAGGTTGTAAATCTTTATGGGAGCAGAAAGCCTCATCTTTCTCCCATGGAACAGCTGGTAGTTTTGAACTGCTGACCTTGTGGTTCGCAGTCCAATTCCTAACCACTATGCTACTAATTCTTTCTGATTTTCCTTTTCTTAATTTTGATGTGATGGTGTATCCGTTTTCTTTGAGAGACCCTGTGATTTATTAATTTCTTCCCCTGATTAGCACAGTCTATTATAATCTTGAAATCTGCTTGACTTCCTAGCCATTTGGAAGTTATGTATTTATAATATTTCCCTTTTGTGCTTTATAGTTGACTTCATTATAAATTGATATCTCTGCTTCCCTATTTTCACTCTAGTAGTTTTGTTTTATTTTCAGGTTTTTATTGTGAATCGAGTGGTAATTGACATGGGAGAACATGGGTTTTACACTCATCGTTTCATTGCAATGATTACAATCTCCTCCGCAATTCAGCATTCAACACTATTTGCTTCTATTTCCTTGTTGTTTTTTTTTGTTTTTTGTTTTTTTTTGATGTACACAAAAACACTCAGGAATATATAATAATTTAAACAACTAAAGGGCACATCCCGTAAGCCTGCCTCCTGGTCACCAGTACACAGCCTTTCTCTTTCCATGAGTCTAGAGTCCTCAGCTGCTCTCTCTCTCCATGTCATCATCTCTGCCTCTGCTGCTTCTCTGGATAGGGTCTCACATTCAGCTCATGCTCCTCTCCCTTGATCATCCTAGGGTCTCCTGTTCCTGGAACGTAACATTAATTACCCCCCCTTTTTTGTTACAAAACTTTTCTAGCTTTGGTTTTGATGATGCAGGATAATGAATTGAACCTCAAGGTCAGTGGTTCAAACTCACCAGCCACTCCTCAAAAACCCTATGTTGTTGTTGTTGTTGTTAAGTGCCATCAACTCAGTTTTGACTCATAGCAACCTTGTATAGGGTTTCTAAGGAGTGACTTGTGAGATTGAACCGCCAACTTTGCAATCTAGTGCATAACTCACAGCATCACACCAGGACCCCTCAGAAACCCTACACATGCTTGCTATGACTCAGAACCGACTCGACGGCACTTAACAACAACAAGAAGAAGGTTTGGTTTACTTTGCATACTTGTACATCTGGATTAAGCTCTGGATGGTAGTGTTTCGTGCTTTCTCTATTTCTGTCTCTTTTCTGTAGGACTTTGTTCTTTCTGGCACTTGCACTAAATGTTAACTCCGTGAGTGAGTGTCGTTTGCTTATCTACTGCACATATTTTCTGCCCCCCGCCCCGAAATATGGATGAGTGTCCAGGGGCCACTGTAGCAAAGTACTACAAACGTGGCACCCTAAAGTCACAGAGGTTTGTTCTCTCCAATCTGGAGTCCAGAAGTCCAAATCTGGGTGCTAGCAGAACTGTGCCCCCTGTAGAGGCTTCAGGGGAGGACCTTCCTTGCCTCTCAGCTTCTGGTGGCTCCAAGTGTCCCTTGACTTGAAGATGCCTCTTCACAGGGCCCTTCCTCTGCCTGTTTCTTCCCTCTTTCATAAAGACACCACTCAGATGGGATTAGGGCCTGCCCTACTCCATATGACTCCATGTAAACCTAACTACCTACATCTGTAAAGGCCCTACTCCTAAACAATGCCACGATCACAGAGGCCCCAGGTTCGAATGTGCCCATATCTTTGGGGTGGGGACATCACTCAGCCCACACTGGGTGTGAGCTTCCTGGGAAACAGGATGTGGCAGGAAGCACCAGGTGTGGTAGAAGCCCATCACAGCCAGCATAGCATGTTCCCCGGCACTTCACACTGATAACTACCTGAGACCCTGTCCATTCAGAGGGGAAACTCAGGCCCATAGATCTGGGGCTTGTCTGGGGCCACAGCAGGCATGGACGCCAGGTTGGAATTGGAGCCTGGAGCCCGGCCCACATCTGCTGGGTTGAGGGCAGGTCATTGCTGTGTGGACTCCCAGTGGAGGGGAGTGAATGAGAGTACAAAGCCCTCTCATCCTTGAAGGAGACTCATGGTCAAGACACAGAGGGCCATGTGGACACTGGGCAGTCAGACTGAGTGTGGGGGCTGAGGAGGGACCAGGACACCTGGACCTCATTGTTCTGGATGGTGAGGACAGCTGCTACTGAGGGCCGGGGATGGGTTTTCAAACACCACAGCACAGTCCCAGTGTCCCCACCCTGTCCCCCACCTTGTCTGACAACAGGGACCCTGGGCACACCTCCAGATCTAGTCCTCATGGGACCCCTGGAAAGGTGGGCACCCCTACGCATCAGCAGACAAGGCTAATGGTAATGGGGTTGCCCTTGTGGCGGCAGCCAGGCCACATTTAGAGAAGAACCCTCATGGCTCTCCATGGAGCCCAGCCAGGCAGCCGGGGGTAGGGGCTCCCATCCAGTCCCACAGGAGCCTGGGCCAGAGAGGACAGGAGGCAGCCCTTCCCCTCCCTCAGGAGTGCTGGGGTCAAAGGTCAGGGCAACCTGCAGTCTGAGGGTGCACTTTCTGCCCAGGTAATGATTAACTCGGTCTGAGGGGGTTCAGCGCTTTCAGCAGCCAGGAGCTGGGAGGGCAGTTCCTTTTCCTGAAGGGAGCAAGGCTGGGCAGAGATCAATCAGCCTGAGAAGCCTTTATGGGCCTGTCTGGGTGGGGTCCCTGACTGCAGACTTCCAGGTGCTCTGTAGCCCTGGGAGACAAACACAGATAACCATTCATTGCATTATGACTTTCGTTGTTTTGCTTTTAAGATCATTTTACACTTGTCTATCATGTTCTTGAACAATTCTTGCTTTTATTACAAGAGCCCTGAAGCCAGGCGATACAGGTAGGAACACCGCACCTGCTCCTGTCTTGAAGCAGCCCCACCTGGGCCAAGTCCACAGCAAGGGCAAGGTCGTCCCTACAGAGCACTTTATGGGCAGCAGATAAGGCTCCTTGGAGTGTGAAACTTCTGCAGACAAATGGGGGGGGCGGGCAGTCTGTGAACTAAGATGAAGGACTGGCACACCTTCCTGTCCTGTCTTGAACCTTCAACTCGCTTGAGGGGGGTCAGGCACCTGCACGGGCGTGGGTGGGAAAGGCTGTTGGGAATCATCACAGCAATCTTAACTGTTGGCCCCAAAGGCCCAGAGGTTGCCCCCAAACTTAGCTCTTGACAGGGCTGGGATCTGGGTTCTGCCAGAGGGGATTTTATGAAACAAAGCAACAATCCAGAAGCAAGTGGAGACATTTCAGAGCTCAAAGGCAGGTAGCAGTTGGACACGGCAGAGCTCCCTGGACACCATCCAGCCCCTGAGTCTCCCTACAGACACCATGCACAGCTCTTACAGAACCCTCTAACATGCCCACTTCACAAGCACAGCGGCAGTCTGGGATCACTTGGTCCTGTGACCATGCTCATCTCATAAACCCATGCTCACTTGTCTTCGCTCACAGCACACATCCCTAAGACGGGTTCTCCGTTCCCTCCCATTGCCATTTTAGATGAAAAATGCAATGATTAAGAACGTAGTCTAAACCTGACTGATGGGGCTTGTGGGTTGGCTCCACCACCCAACAGCCGTGTGACCTTGGCACAAGTCACTGAATCTCTCTGTGCCTCTGTTTTCTCATCTGTAGAAGTGTGACAGTAATGGCTACATGCAGGGTTTAATCCACGTGCCTGGCATTACTGCTGGCATACACACCTATTGCTGAGGTCCACATCTTTGTGCCTCGTGAGATCACCTGTTTTTACCATGCAGTAACACATTCCTCATGTCCACACCTGTTTCCATCAGTTCAGGTCTGATTTGGGGACTCACAGACCATCCCTGTCCCACCCATTGCTGCCTAATCCCTAGGCAGGAATGTTCCTTCCCTGACAACACTGCACATGTCCCCCCTTTACTGTCAGTGCATCTGTACCTGAGGAGCCCTTTCTCTCCCGTCTCTCCAGGACCAATTTATCTCTAATTGCCAAGTGTGAGACCTCGTTCTGAGCCAGCCACATCCCTGCCCACAGCCATCCTCCCCACCATATCTTCCCACAGCCACACCCATGATTTCTCAGGGGACTGTAACCAAGCAAAGGAATCTGTATACAACCAAAGGTCATCAACTGAGCTTTTAAGGGTGTGTGGTGTTTGTGCCCCAGATCAATGTTTGGGGACTGGGGACTTTGCTGGACATCTTGGTGCTGGCTGTGCTGTAGGCTGGAGGGACTGCATAATGTCCAGGCCAGCCCAGGGAGGGGCCTTTGTTACTGAGTGCTAGACTGAAGAGCGGGACTCCATGGAGGAACAGGGGACTTCCTGCTCCAGGTGAGTGCCCATTCCATGAGAGGTCGCTTTGGCACCATGGGGTCGGGCTTCTCTGCACTCTGTCCTCACCTCACCCCAGACTCATGATCCCAGGGACTCCATTCCCAGGGTCAGCCCAGGGAAAACCCCTATCCTGAACTCAGATCCACTCCCCTGGTGCTAGGCGCCCCAAGCTGGGCCCCACCTAGGGCTTGTGGCTGTAAAGTCAGTAAGGCATCCAGGACTGAGCCCTCCTTGGAGGTCCCTCTAGATGCCCTCAGAATGGGAAAGGAAGGAACAGAAGGGTCCTTGCAAGGTTCCACCAGCTATGGCCAGGTCTATGGAAGGGAGGAAGCAAACGGGGGACAGTCCTTTCCAGAACTGGACCCCCTGAAACCTGGTCAGTGGTGAGCCAGTGACCACCTTGGGGAGACCACACTTCACCAACTAGGAGATGCCAAGGTGCCTACCCGAGGTGGGGTGAGTGTTCTGAGGTCTCCCCTCACTGGGGAGTCCCAACGCTCTGGCGTGTGTTCACCTGAGGGTCACCTGCCCCCAGCTTGAGGGACCGGGCTGCGGTCTCCCGGGAGCTGCTCCTGGCTGCACTGGAGGAACTGAGCCAGGAACAGCTGAAGCGGTTCCGACACAAACTGCGGGACGCGCCGGAGGGCAGCCGCAGCATCCCGTGGGGAAAGCTGGAGAAGGCAGATGTGCTGGATCTGGTCCAGCAGCTGGTGGAGTTCTACGGCGCCGAGCCCGCGCTGGACGTGGCCCAAAAGGCCCTGAAGAGGTCGGATGTACGCGATGTGGCGGCTCAACTCAAGGCACAACGGCTGCAAAGTGAGCCTGTGGGTGGGGGCGAGGGCGAGGGCGGGAGGGGTGACCGGGGCCACACCTCTGCTCCCTTACCGTGCCCACTCTGTGGGAAAGCAAAGTGGCCAGAGTGGGGATCCTCAGAGTGCCCCACGTGTCCTTCCCCGCCTCCTCCCCGCCCCAGCACTTGACAGGGGCCTCAAGCACGTCTCCCTTCCAGGTCTTGGCCCTGGCTACTCCGTGGAACTCTCTGTGTCCGGTAGGTCTGACCCCAGGCTCAGGGCACAGCTAGTCCCAGCGAGGTGGGGGTGGAGCAGGGAGACTGAGGGGTGAGCAGGTGGGGAGGCCATAGGTTCTGAGGGTCTTCTGACACTGCCTGCCCGGTCCAGTATCCTTGTGACCCTGCCCCCTCCCCCCATCCCAGAGTACAAGAAGAAATACCGTGAGCACGTGTTGCATCTGCACGCCAAGGTGAAGGAGAGGAACGCCCGCTCCGTGAAGATCACCAAGCGCTTCACCAAGCTGCTCATCGCGCCCGAGAGCCCCGAAGCGGAAGATGAGGAGCTGGGGCCTGCGGAGGAGCCGGAGCCCCGGCGCGCCAGGCGCTCCAACACGGACACCTTCAACCGACTGTTTAGCCGGGATGAGGAGGGCCATCGACCTCTAACGGTGGTGTTGCAGGGTCCGGCAGGCATCGGCAAGACGATGGCGGCCAAGAAGATCCTGTACGACTGGGCAGCGGGCAAGCTGTACCACGGCCAAGTGGACTTCGCCTTCTTCCTGTCGTGCCATGAGCTACTGGAGCAGCCGTCCGTCCGCAGCCTGGCCGACCTGATCCTGGACCAGTGCCCTGACCGCCGCGCGCCACTGCGCCAGATGCTGGCGTGTCCCGAGCGACTGCTCTTCATTCTGGATGGCGCAGATGAACTGCCGGCGGCGCAGGGGTCCACCGAGGCAGTGCCCTGCACGGACCCCTTCGAGGCGACTGCAGGCGCGAAGATCCTAGGTGCTCTGCTGAGCAAGGCGCTGCTGCCGGCCGCCCGCCTGCTGGTGACGACGCGCGCAGCCGTGCCTGGGAGGCTGCAGGGCCATCTGCGTTCTCCGCAGTGTGCTGAGGTGCGCGGCTTCTCGAACAAGGACAAGAAGAAGTATTTCTACAAGTTCTTCCCCGACGAGCGCCGGGCCGAGCGCGCCTACCACTTTGTGAAGGAGAACGAGACGCTGTTCACCCTGTGCTTCGTGCCCTTTGTGTGCTGGATCGTGTGCTCCGTGCTGCGCGGACAGCTCGAGCGAGGCCAGGACCTGGCGCGCACCTCCAAGACCACCACGTCGGTGTACCTGCTCTTCATCGTTAGCCTGTTGGGCTCCACACCCCCCGCCCACGGAACCTCAGTGCAGGACGAACTGCGCAAGTTGTGTCGCCTGGCCCGCGAAGGGATCCTGGGTCGCCGCTCACAGTTCTCAGAGAGGGACCTGGAGCGCCAGGAGCTGCGCGGTTCCAGGATGCAGTCGCTGTTTCTCAACAAGAAGGAGATACTGGGTGTGCTGGAGGCTGAAGTCGCCTACCAGTTCATCGACCTGAGCTTTCAGGAGTTCTTCGCAGCGCTGTCCTACCTGCTGGAGGAAGACACGGGGTCCGAGACCCGGGCCGGCGGCGTCGGGGCGCTCCTGCGTGGGGATTCCCAGTTGCGTGGCCATCTCACGCTCACCACGCGTTTCCTCTTTGGACTGCTTAGCGCCGAGCATATGGAAGACATTGCCCGCCACTTCGGCTGCGTGGTCTCGAAGCGTGTGAAGGAAGATGTCCTACGGTGGGTGCAGGGGCAGAGCCGCTCCGCACTAGAGGGGAGTCAGGAACCCGAGGGGCTCGAGGCTCCAGAAGAGCCAGAGGAGGAGGACGAGGAGGAAGAGAAAGAGGAGGAAGAGCCCAACTATCCGCTGGAGCTACTGTACTGCTTGTACGAGACGCAGGACGACGCGTTCGTGGCTCAGGCCCTGCGCGGTCTGCCGGAGCTGAAGCTGGAGCGAGTGCGCTTCAGCCGCACCGACATCGCGATCCTGAGCTACTGCGTGCAGCGCTGCCCAGAAGGTCAGACCCTGCGGCTGCTGGGCTGCGGACTGAGCTTGGTGCGCGAGAAAAAGAAGAGCTTGGTGAGGCGGCTACAGCGCAGCCTGGGCGGCGGGTGAGTTTCCGTGGAGGGCAGCCCGCCCTGGCACAAGTGTGCCATACAGAGCGTGTCGCTGCCGGTTCTGGGGCATGTGGGCTAGGAGTGGCCACCTGGACATGCGGAGCGTGTTCGCACCCTCCCCCAGATGGCCTTTGACCATCCCCTTGACAAGCAGGTTGCCCCCAAAGCTTGTTCTTGCTTTAGAATCTGCAGTGACGAGTTTGGTTCACTTGCTTTTCACCACCTCAAAGATGTGAAAATTTCCACTTCCGATTGGTGATGGTTATGTGCCGTGGAGTCGGAACCCGGAACCGACTCATAGCGACCCTGCACAGGGTTTCTGAGGCTGTAAATCTTTACTTGAGCAGAAAACCTCATCTTTCTCCCACGGGACAGCTGGTAGTTTCGAACTGCTGACCTTGTGGTTCGCAGCCCGATTCGTAATCGCTACGCTACCAGAGCTCTTTTTCTGATTAGTAAGTAAGCACAAATAAGGCCCGAGTTACCTTGCTTATTGCGTTAGCTGACTCTGTGAGGGACTGTACGCTTGTAAAGGGACACTTACTCTGGAGGCAGGTGAGAAGAGACAGGTGTCAGCCAGAACTAGAGGTAGAATCTTTGATGTGGTGAAAAAACCTGAAATGGTTCCCTACAGATGAGTAAGTAAACCTATGCTTACCTTGCTTTGGGGTAATTCCACACTTGCTCTCCCAGGACCTTTTCTCCCTGCCAACCTAACAGCATGCATATGGCCCAGCACCCCCTTCCTCTCCACAGTACACTTGCTGTTGGGGTACTTTCTGCATCTTCTCTCCCAGGAACACGCTCAGCTTCTGGCTCTCCAACTGGCCTGGAACCTCTGACCCCAGAGGTGCCTCAGGGCTACCTGCCCATGGTCTCACCCACTAAGCCATCACCTCCCCTAGGGCAAGGCCATGGGCCCTTTCTAACGAGACTCAGGTGCCCAGCATCTGTTACAGAATGAATGTCAGGGCATGGGCAGAGACTGGACTCTGGGAGAGACACAGACTTTCACACACTAAGCACGTGGGGAAAGGGGCACACAAGCCATAAACAGTGTGTCCTTCTGGATTCAGAGGGACCAAAGGTAAGGCATCCTTCCTGAAAGGGAAGGGCTAGAAGGGACCAGGTGGTCTTCACCTGCTTTTATTCCCCAGGAATTCTCTAGAGTCCCGGAGACAAGTATCAGCCTCCCCTCTTCGTCCACTCTGTGAAGCCATGATGGACCAGCACTGTGGTCTCAGCAGCTTGACGTGAGTGAACACACCTGTCAGTGCCTCCCAAGGAGTGGGGTCAAGGCAGGGCACTCAGGGGTGGGGACAGACATGGGGTCCTGTCTCCGGGAGGTTCAGCGGCCATGCCTCTGTATCTGTGACTGAAGGTGCCAGACTGGCAAAGGCTGCACCCTCAGATCAGAGCTGGTAGGAAGCAGGGTGTGACCTTGGTGTGAATAGGAAGTGGGTGCAGCTAAGTCTTCTAGGGCCCACATGCATTTTCTTTCCCAAAGTAAGGCTGTTAATTGCAGTTAGAAACTGCTGGGTGATCCACCTGGATTCTTTGAAGGCATGTAGGAAGGTGTTCAGGGCATAAATTCTCAAGTCCATCTGCCCGGAACTCCAGTGAGCCCCGGACAAGTCCATCTACTTCAGCCAGTCCTCAAGGGAAAGATGTGGCAGTCTGCTTCCATAAAGAGTCAAACTCTAACCAAATCCCCGCCATCACGTCGATTCCCACTCATCACTCCCCTGCAGTTTCTGTGGCTGTGAATCTCGATAGGGGCACAATGCCTCATTTTTCTCCCATGAAGTCACTCGGTGGGTTTGAACTGCCAATCTGTGGTTAGCAATCTAGTGCTTATCCCACAGCACCACCAGGGCTCCTTTCCATAAAGATGTCAGCCTTGGAAACCCTATGGGGCAGTTCTACTCTGTCCTATAGCGTTGCTGAATCCAGAGCAACCCTACAGTGAAGGTTTGCTTCGGTTTTTGAGACACTAAAATGTGTTGGTCCCTAAAAATGCCTGTATGGGGACATCAAGTGGGATCATGTTCTGCAGGAGGAAGGGGAACAGACCACAATGCACAGTGGGGACCCTCAGGGAGGCAGGTGCAGAGCCCGAATATCCCCCCAGAGAACTGGGCAGTTTGTGCGGGTGGAGTGCTGATGAGCCCATGTACTTCTCCACCACAGGCTGTCCCGCTGCAAGCTGCCAGACTCGGTCTGCCGGGACCTGGCTGAGGCGCTGAAGCAGGCCCCGGCCCTGACCGAGCTGAGCCTCCAGCTCAACAATATCAGCCCCATGGGACTGAAGATGTTGTGTGAGGGGCTTGCCTGGTCCAGGTGCCGAGTACAGACGTTCAGGTGAGGCCTTGCTGGGAAGTGGGCAGGGTGGGGGCACCCACAGCCCCTCCTGAGACTGCCTCCTGCAGGGTGCAGCAACCCGGCCTCCAGGAAGTGCTCCAGTACCTGCTCAATCTGCTCCAACTCAGCCCAGTGCTGACCACCCTGGACCTCAGTGGCTGCCAGCTGCCAGATGCCATCATGACCCACCTGTGCAAGATCCTGCAGCATCCCAGATGCAGCCTGCAAGCACTCAGGTGCACACAGTGCGCATGTGCTAAGACAAGACGCAGGCTGTCTGTCCTGGGGAGTTGGGGGAGAGGGAGGGGGGCGGTGTGCTAGGATACAGCCTGTTTACCCTGGTGAAAGAGCCAGGGATCCCTGGGGGATCATGCTCAAATACCATCTGGGAGGCCCTGGCCCTAAACTCCTGCCCCCTTCCCAGGCTCTGACAACCTTCCTGACTGGCCAACCATCTGAGCCATTGGTCACAGTCTGAGCCCTTGTTGCTCCCTCCTCCTCAGGCTGCCTCCCAGGTCCTGGCCCTGCTCACTCCCCTCACCGCCCACCCTCTCTCTCTCCTGTACATGGCTGCAGTCTGGCCTCCGTGGAGCTGACGGAACATTCACTGCAGGAGCTGCGTGCTGTGAAGATGGTGAAGCCAGATCTGGTCATCACACACCCTGGGTTGGAGGATGTCCCAGAGCCTCCCGAGGGGGTCAGCTGTGCCCTCTGAGGCCCTGAAGGCTGGCCATGGGGCAGTGGCTCCATATTCACAGCCCCTACATGGAGAGCATCATGCTTAGTCTTAGACCACTCCCCAGAACCTGAGCGGCCTGCACTGGACGGACACAGACCCTGGGACCTGCTCTTCTACCCCATACCCAGGGTCTCCTCCTCCCCAGGGGTCCAGTCAGGATGCTGGTGTAGGGTCCATTCATGAGCATCTGTACCTGGTCTGCTCAATGCAGAGTGACCCCCAGAATGCCCCCCCCCCATTCCCAGTGTGGCCTTACAGCCTCAGCTCTGCCCCTGGTCACAGTGGAGCCCTTGACTTAAGGTAGGAGACTCACTCTCTCAGCCCCAGAAATTGGGGTTTGACATTAAGAGTGATGCTGGACCTGTGAGCAGAGCCCAGGGGTGACCTCTTCATCCCCACTCCCTTGAAGATCTTCTGCAAGGAAGGCCAGGGGAGAGCAGGAGTGGAGGGTGGGCATGAGCCAGCAGCTCCCCACCCACTGATAATAAAGTCCCTTCAGATGCATCTCTGTTTGGCATTTGTTACACTTGACTGGATGCCCTAACAGGTGCTCACCAGCTCTCCTTTGGTCCCCAACGAGGACAGGGTGTTCGGGCTGAACAGTATCGTCCCTGTTTGGCCACTGAGGACTCGGGCCATGGCTAGACTGGCTGCAGGATGGCCCCTGAGTCTTCAAGTCCTGTCTGTTCTGTTGGCCACGGTGCAGCTGGCTCTAGTCTGGAGGCCATGGATGACAGGCTTCTCTACTTGCCGGGGGAATGTTCCTTTTACAGTCTACTTTCTAAAGTCACTCATTGATTAATTCCACAAAACACACAAAATCCTGGTCCTTCTGGAGCTGGCCTCCCAGGTAACAAGTACCTACATGATACAAAACACACAACATAATGCAATGAGTACATATGTGGTATGTAAACACACAGCATGAGACATGTATGTAATATACATGACACAATAAACACACTGCTGTTGCTAAGGGCCGCTGAGTCTGTTCGGAGTCACAGCAACCCTGCAGAGGGTTTCTGAGGAGCAATTGGTGGGATTGAACCTCCGACCTTGTGGTTAGCAGTCCAGTGCTTATCCTACAGCGTCACACCAAGACCCAACAATATATGCATATGTGATGCATAAGTATACAACACAAACAATAAATACATATAGAATGAAGAAATATGTAACATGAAACAATAAATACATGGGTGATACATGCAGACATAACATGGGGCAAATACATGTGTAAACACAAACAACATGAGACAATAAGTACATGTGTGATCTGCAAACATTTGATACATGCATATGATTCAATAAGTACATGTGTGACACAACGCACACGTGACGCATAAATACAGATCATGCATACACATGAAGCATAAACATATGCTATAATAAGTACACATGTGATACATAAAATATATGATGCAAGTACACGTGTAATACACAAACACATATGGTAAGTGTTCATGTGACACATAAACACACAGATGCAATAAGTATATATACGACATGCAAACACATGTAATACAATAAGTACACATGTGACACCAAATACATATGGTACAATAAATGCACATGTGATACACAAACATGACACAGTAAGTACACATGTGAGACACACCTGCACATATGATACAGTGAGTATACATGTGATACGCAAACACACAGCATTTGAGAGGGCAGAGAGCTGTTGCAGTGGCCTGGAAGGGCATGGACAGGAAGTGGGTCCCTGGTGAAGGAAGGTTAGATGAGGTCAGAGCTTCAAGTCAGGGTCTCACTGCCCTGCTAGCCACCTGGGCAAGATGGGTGACACCATAGACTCTGGGTGGCCTAGGAGGAGGTCCCCTGAGCCCACGACTAATAGAGAAGGCCAACTGGAACTGGAGGGGCTGCTGGGCAGGCACGGCAATCCAGACGACAAAAGGCACAGAGAAGAGACAGGCCGGGGGTGAGAGGAAGACACCAGGGTCCTGGGGAGGAGGGAGTTGAACCAGGTGGGGAGGGAATCCCAAGAGTGTTTCCAGGGGTCAGAAAGACCCATGCTTCTGATTGGGTACAGATCAATATTGACCACAGAAAACAGATTGTGGGTTAGAGGTGGCAAAAAACTGTCCCAGGTCACCCTCTAATTCCATCATTACAGTAGCCAGAAGTTACTGCCGGCCCCTCCTTCAGGTCCCTGCATGTCTAGTTCAGGCTACTACACGCAGAAGGCCGAGCTCTCTGCCCCTCAGGTCGCCCCTCTGAGGAGGGACTAGACACTGTCTGGCCTGGTGGCGGGAAGGGCAGCAGCTCGTCCCCACGTCTGGATCCACTACCCTACCCGCCCCTACTAGAGGTAGGCCTGCCCATTCCTTCTGCCGGGGCCGCCTCCCAGGGGCGGGGAGCTCGGGCCCTTCCTGGTGACGTGTGTGGGCGGGACCTTCCCCTCCTGGCTCTGGCGGGGCAGAGGCGACCCCCGGGACAGCCCAGCGACCCCAGACTCCCTTCCCGGGATCCGGAGCAGGAAGTCAGCTGTGGGTGAGCCCTGGAGTCTTCACCAGCAACTCTTGCCCCCCTAACCTGCTTCCCCACCTCGAGCGGACCCAGTTCCCTTCTTGGCCCAGTTCCTACCGCCCCAGGATCCTCGTGGTCACGCCCCAACCCAGCCTCTCACCTATCCACCATGAAGACGTCTGTCCCCTGAGCCGAGCTCCCCTCATTCAACCCGTCCGCTTTCTCACCAGCAGGCCCAACGTTCCTAACTGCAAGACTGAGCCCTGGGGCGCAGCTTGAAGAATAGCAGCCGGAGGAGCCTCAAAGGGTGTGGTTTGGGGTCCTGAGGTGGAAGTTTAGGGGACAAGCATGGGGTTTCCGTTAGTCCTGCAGATCAATCCCTTGGGGGTTTCAGCAGCTGTAAGGGTTGAGGGTCAAACCCAGGAAGTTTTGGGTTAGGGGTCTGGGGGCCAGAGAGGTGCTTCCTGGGGTGGTGCAGGGGTGGGGTATCCAGATAGGCTCCCCACCTCACCATCTGTTAGTGATGTCTGCCAAGTTCGAAGGTAGATTTGGGGTGACCCAGCGAATCATGGGGTGCTGACCCCGGCCTTCCTCCATCCACACCAGTTTTACCATGGACGATGCTGGTGAGGATCCCACTAGATTCACTGCCCACTCTCTGCCCAGCGACCCCCGCCTCTGGGTCCCCGTGACCAGCGCAGACCTGGGCACACGTGTGTACTGTGATGTGATGCATGTGAGTGGTGTGTACAACGGGGCTAGGGGGGACACACACAGAGCCATTCTGCCGTGTCCACTCAATGTCTGGCTGGAGGCCCCTGGAGAGCCAGGAGAGCAGCTGACCGAGGCCTTCACTCTGGACACCAACACAGGTAGCCACCACCTCTGTCCTCCCGCACTTTTACCTTCAAGGAAATCCCATCCCAACACTTCCTAACTCTACATAGGGGGCTCAGGACCCCAACTCACAGGGAAAATGTGGTTCCAGGAGCCCCGTGGTGAGGGGCCCGGTGGGCTCTCCTTTTCCTTCTGCGATTCCAGTGGGGTCACTTGTGAAGCCGTTAGATTTGCAGACAGGGACACTGAGGCACAGAAGATCAATCCACCTTCGCTGTGAGGAGTGGTAGTCAGGGGTCCGAGTGACGGGGAGGGGTCTCTGGGAAAGCCAGGGCACTTGATCTTCGTCCACCTCACCCCAGATGACCTACGCCCGGCCCTCACAGGCTCCTTTGTGCGCATCCTGGAGTCCCCCAGCTTCCAGGCCTCCCAGCGCATCTATGCCCACCGCACACTGCCCCGTGTCCTGGTCTTCAGCGTGTCTATTGCCCGCAAGGTCACTGGGACTGGACTCATCACAGTGCAGCTTCGGGAAGCCTTGTCCCTAGAAAGCCCAGACCTGGCCCTGCACCAGGGTCCGGACTTCCAGGGAGCGCGGTGAGAGGAAGGGCAGGGGGTCGGTGAGGAGAAGCCCCCAGGGTGGAGGAGGGGCAGGGGTCGGCGAGGAGAAGCCCCCCGGGGGGTGGGGGTGGAGGAGCCTTGGGGAAGCGAAGGGATCGGGATCGGCGGAGAGGACCAGTGCCCTGGGGACGGTAGTAAGGGAGGCAGAGGGGGCAGTGAGAGGATGTTGACAAGGGGGAAGTGAAGGTCCAGGGAGATGTGGGGTGGGGCGGAGGAGGGAGCGGGCCTTAGTCACGACCGACAGCCCTCGCCCTGTAGGTATCTGTACGGCCACACGCTCACCCCAGAGCAGCCTGGGGGGCACCTGCAGGAGGTCCACTTGCTGTGGACACCCGCGCCCGCCGCCCTGACCCTTGAGGAAGGCGAAGATGAAGCGGCCTGGGAGTTCCTGACTGTAGTGGGGGGCAGCCAGGCGGAGGCCCGGTCCTGCCTCCAGGAGGCGCTGCGGCTGCGGGAAGGGGGCGCGCTGTTCCCTACCCACGCCCAGGCCTGGGCAGGGCTGTGGGAGGGCTGCGGCCTGGACGTGGCGGGGCCGCTGAGGCTGCGCCAGGCTCTGCGCGGCGCCCTTTATTACCTGCTCAGTGCACTGCCCCAACCTGGGACACCAGAGTACGTCTGCCACGGCCTCAGCCCCGGCGGCCTCTCCAACGGCAGCCGTGACGAATGCTACTGGGGCCACGTCTTCTGGGACCAGGTATGCACTGTCCACCCCAGTGTCCGGTGGGCAGCGGCCGTAGAAAGTACTGGGGCCAAGCGGAACCCTGGCGGAGCCTGTTACTAAGCAAGAGGAGGGGTCTCATAGAGCTGGGGCTGAAGGGCCTGAGGGGGTCATGTGAACCAGGGAGCTCAGGGGCAGAGGAGTGACTGCTTAGTCCATTGGAAGCATTGCGAGGTTGTGACAGTGGACAGCATGGGGGGCTAGGAGTAGCTGATGGGTGGTGGAGCAGGGCTTGGTGACCACTGGTCAGGGACCAGGACCACTCAGCTCAGTCCTGCTCCTGACCTGTGGTCGGTGCTGTGGGCCCACTTAGCAGATGGGCTCAGGGAGGCTTCTCATTCATCCAGGGCCAGCTAGTGATTGGTGGAGCTTGAACTTGTCACAGGGTGCAAGGGGCAGGGATGGAAGGGAGGGCACCATGAGGAGCATCTGGGCAGTGGAGGGACGAGGACAGGTTGGGTTGAGCCGTAGACAAATGCCCCAAGGGCTGAGGGGGTGAGGGCAGGGATGGACAGAGCCCTAGAGCCCTTCCAGCCATCCAAATAAGCCCCCCTCCCCCTTGGTGTTCCCTCAGGACCTCTGGATGTTCCCGAATGTCCTGATGTTCCACCCAGAGGCTGCCAGGGCCATCTTGGAGTACCGCATCCGCACATTGGGTGGGGCCCTGGAGAATGCCCACAACCTGGGCTACCAGGTAAGGGGGTCCCAGACACCCACTTCCTCTGGGCAAGGCAGCCAAGGGAGGAGGGAGGAGCACAGCCAGTGGGCCCCTGGTGCAGGTACAGCACGTGAGGCTCTGAGCCCACATGACGGACCCAGGGATCCACCCTCAGGGTGGGCTGCCCTGTCCCCCAGGACAGACTCAAGCTGACTCCATCCCCCAGGGGGCCAAGTTCGCTTGGGAGAGTGCTGGCTCTGGACGGGAGGTCTGTCCTGAGGACATCTATGGGGTCCAGGAGCTGCACATCAATGGGGCCGTGATGCTGGCCTTTGAGCTCTATTACTATACCACCCAGGTGAGGTGAGGGCCTGCCCACCTATGCTCAGGCTCCCGCATGGTGCCCACCTTCCTGAGGAAGCCACGTTCCCAGTACCTTCTTGTCTGTCTTGGGGCCAGGCCTCTGGTCTCTGAGCTTTAAAGGGTGCAGTGGGCCTTAGGGGAGAAATGCAGCGAGCCTGTAACAGAGAATCACTGATGCTGACCCCCAGGATGTGCAGCTCTTCCGAGAGGCTGGGGGCTGGGACCTGGTCCACGCTGTCGCTGAGTTCTGGTGCAGCCGCGTGGAGTGGAGTCCTGAGGAAGAGATGTACCACCTGACGGGTGAGGACAGTGAGAGGGGGGAGACTGGCTCCAAGGGCAGCCCACCTGAAACCCACACTGAGGTTCTCTTGCTCTGATGTCCCAGGAGTCATGCCCCCTGACGAGTTCCACTCGGGGGTCAGCAACTCCGTGTACACCAACGTCCTGGTCCAGAACAGGTTAGGCCCTGGGCTTACCCTTCACCTGTCTCCATGTGGGCCCACTCTCACATGGACGCACCTACACCCCCACATGCGACACCCGCTTCCCCCCAGCCTGCACTTTGCTGCTGCTCTGGCCAAGGACCTGGGTCTACCTGTCCCTGACCAGTGGCTGGTGGTAGCTGACAAGATCAAGGTGCCCTTTGACCCAGAGGGGAACTTCCACCCTGAGTTTGAGGGGTACCAGCTTGGTGAGTGGATGCCGAGCTTCTCTGAGCCTCCCAGCCTCTGAGGTCTGTGGGTGATGGCATCTCCTTCCCTTAATTCCCACATCCTCACGTCCCTTCTGAACCACCTCCCCAACCACCAGAACCCCCTGCCCACCATCAGCAACGCCCCCCTCCAACCCTCAGGAGAGGAGGTGAAGCAAGCGGATGTTGTGCTCCTGGGGTTCCCCATCCCCTTCTCCCTGAGCCCCAGTGTTCGGAGGAGAAACCTGGAGGTGTATGAGGCCGTGACGTCCCCTCAGGGCCCTGCTATGACCTGGGTGAGGAGCTGGGACTTGGGGGAGGTAGAGACTCAGTCTGCTCCACGAAGCAGGCTTCATCTCTGTGTGTCCTTGACCCCTGTCCCCAGAGCATGTTTGCAGTGGGATGGATGGAGCTGAAGGACCCGGAGCGGGTACAGGACCTCCTCGACAGGAACTTCGCCAACATCACTGAGCCCTTCAAGGTCAGCGGGGACTGCAGCCTCAGGAGGTGGTATCCTAGGCCTGACACTGACCAGCTCCGCCCCACAGGTGTGGACAGAGAATGCTGACGGGTCAGGTGCCGTGAACTTCCTAACAGGCATGGGAGGCTTCCTGCAGGCTGCCCTCTTTGGGTTCACAGGATTCCGGTGAGTACAGTGGGCAGTGGAGGGGTTCTCCCGGCCCCAGCTCACCCCTCCTCACGGAAACCCCTTGGTCCTCAGGATCACCAGAGCGGGTATAACCTTTGACCCCATGTGTTCAGCGGAGGTCTCTGGCGTTTTCATCTCTGGCTTCTCCTACCAGGGGAGCAAGCTCAACTTCTCCTTCTCCAAGGACGTTGTGACGATTGAGGTCACAGCCCGTGTCAGGCCCTGGGCGCCCCCGCTGGAGGTAGAGCTCAGGCCGGCACAGACTCGACTCCCCCTGCCCCCAGGTAGGAGGCCACCCCCATGCCCACCCAGGGATCCTGGTTGTAACCCTAGGGTGACCCCTCGGGGTCTTTGGGTATGTGATCCCAGGGTGCCCCCCATATGTTCCCCTCTGCTCTAGGTCACAAGGTCTCCTTCCCTCAGTCTGCCGGCAGGATACAAAGGTCCATCCTGTAGCTGCCTCACTCAGGTAGTGAGGAGTTCAAGTGCAATGTTTCCTGGGGAGACCCCTTTAAAGACATCAGACATCTGCTCCGGAGACCCCAAACCCCCTCCATGACCCCCTTCATCCTTCCAGCCCCACCCCAAGTGCCCCTCCTCCGTGCAGTTCTGAGCAGTAAGGTTGCTGGCTGCAGTTTGCTCTGGGGTCCACTTTCTGGCCACTTCTGGCAAGCCGCCAGCCCCCTGCCCTACCTGGAATCCCTGCCTTGCTGAGCCCCTCTCCAACTGGACTCTCAGGGTCTCCCACATTCCATCAGCCTCCTCCTGTGGTCCCTCTGGGCTGGTGTCCATGCTCAACATCCATACCCCTTGCTTCTCCCCAGTGGCACCGGGCCAGCAGGGTGACGTCATGGCATGGGGGATGAGACCAACTCAGAGGTGGTATCATTCAGGACTTTCCGGTGCAAATGACTTCACCATAAAAGGGCTTTTGTGTCGTGTGTTCGAGGGTCAGGCATGAGTGGTTGGCTCCTGAGTGGCCGTCTCTCTCAGTTCTGACTTCATCAGTGGAATGGGCCACTGGCCATTGGTTGGCTACAGGGTCATCCCTAGGTGGGGTGTTCAAAGCCCCACCTTCCCTGCAGTGGGCCCTACCACAGGTCCTGCCACAGCGGCTGAGACCTCACAGAGGGTGTGGGCATATTTGTCAGCCTGTCTCTGCCAGGTTTTTCCAGTTGCGGGGAGGCTTGGGCACTGGGGGAAACGGGCACTCGGCCCTGTAGATGCTAAGAAATGCCTCCTCCTTTCTTCCCGCCTGCCTCTGTGTGCATGCATGAGAGAGAAAGGCAGAGAGACAGACAGACATACAGGCAGACACAAAGTGACAGTGTAAAACAGAGCCAACAGAGACAGGGAGGGAGAGACAGAGATGCAGAACCAGACAGGGAGAGACTGAGAAACACAAAGACAAAGAGACGGCGGGATCATGGGAGGATGTGTACCCGAAGGCAGTGTTAGGTGCCGTGGCATCGGTTCCAACTCAGGGACCCTGCGCACAACAGAAGGAAACACTGCCTGGGCATGCACCAGCCTGGGTGAGCCCATCGCTGCTTTGTATGGAAGGCTGTGGGTAATGTACATGCATGTGGATATGTGTCTTCATGTGCCAATGCCCAGCCCTCTGGGGAAGACCGCACCCTCCCAGTGCCTCGATGACCCAGGAAGGAGGAAACCCAGTGTGGGACTGAGAGCTCTCAAAATCAAAGGCACTCAGAGTAACCCAAGAAGGAGGTCTGTACACACCCAACCCACAGAGAGGAGA